AATGGGGATCAGAAGACGGCCCGAGAATGTTATCTCTCAGCCGTCTGAGATACCGTGGCCCCAGGCGGTCAGGAACCAATAGACCTTGACAACGTCAAGGAGGCCGACCCAGCTCCTGCCCCATCAGCAGCCGGAAAGAAAAGAAAGGCTCCTCTGCTGGTGGAGGTGAAAAAAGAGAAAAAATAGCAATCACTGACCGATGAACAGTCAGATGAGCTCTGTCCCCAACCGGCTGGCGAAAGCATTGATCTCGTACTAGACGACAGCCGTCCAGAACGCACTGTTAAGGTTGGGACGGTTTCTCATGCTACCTTGGGTTCAAGCTTGCACCTTTTGCTGAAAGAATTCAAAGACATTTTTGCCTTTGAAGTGGAAGAGATGCCAGGCGTCAGCCCGGATCTTGTTGTCCACAAAATCGCCGTGGACCCCAAAAAGAAGCCCATCCGGCAAAAGAAAAGAAACCACGGCGAGGAAAGAAGTCAGGCGGCAGCTGCCGAAGTCAAAAAGCTGCTAGACGCTAGGTTCATTCGGCCTTGTAATTTCCCCGACTGGGTGGCCAATGTGGTCCTTGTGAAGAAACCGAATGGGACCTGGCGCATTTGTGTTGATTACACAGACCTCAACAAGGCGTGTCCAAAGGACAGTTATCCGCTTCCAAAGATCGACAGTCTGGTCGATTCTACAGCCGGTCACGCCTTGATGAGCTTTATGGATGCATACTCCGGCTTCCATCAGATACTCCTGTGGAAGAAAGATCAAGAGAAGACGGCCTTCGTCACTGATCAGGGGCTATTCTGTTATACTGTAATGCCATTTGGCTTGAAAAATGCGCCTGCCACTTTCCAACGGATGATTAATACGGTCTTCATTAATCAGATTGGGAGGAATGTGGAGGCGTACATTGATGACATGATAGTCAAATCCAAGCTACAAACGGATCAGCTTGCTAATCTCCGAGAAACATTCACCACCCTCAGGCGGCATAAGGTTATGTTAAATCATAAGAAATGCGTCTTTGGTGTTGAGTCCGGGAAGTTTCTCGGATTCCTGATTGATCAAAGGGGGATAGAGGCTAACCCCGAAATGATACAGGCGGTGATTGACATGAAGTCACCCCGCTCTGTTAAGGAAGTTCAGAGACTCACCGTTTGTCTGGCCGCCTTGGGGAGGTTCCTCAGCCGGTCAGGTGACAAATGCCTCTACTTCTTCCAAGCAATCTGGAAGAAGACCAGATTTGAATGGGGGGATGATGCTGAGGCGGCGTTCCAAAGGTTGAAAGAGCATTTACATTCTCTGCCTAGGTTGGTCAGTCCTTTGCCTAGGGAGACGTTGTACATGTATTTAGCCGTCTCTGACCATGCCCTCAGTGTCGTTCTCCTTGCTGAGCGAGACGGCGTGCAGCTCCCGGTTTACTTCATTAGCCATGTTCTTAAAAATGCTGAACTCCGGTACCCCATGGTTGGAAAAATTGGCCTCGAATTGTATATGACATTCAAAAAATTGAAGCCTTACTTTTTGGCACATCCGGTGGTGATTTACACGGACCAGCCACTCAAGCGGCCAATGTCTACCTTGGACTCATCCGGGAGAATGTTGAAATGGGCTATTGAAATGCAGAGCCTTGAAATCACTTACGAACCAAGAAAGGCAGTGAAAGGTCAGGCGTTTGCCGACTTCATTGTGGAAATGACTCGTCCGGTGGCTCCGGATAATCTTGATCAGGTTTGGAAAGTGTACGTAGACGGGTGCTCTACAAAGAACGGCTGTGGTGCAGGCGTAATTTATGTGTCTCCTGAAGGAGACAGATTTGAGTATGCACTACGCTTCAAATTTCAGGCCTCTAACAATGAGGCGGAATATGAAGCCCTGCTAGCCGGCATTCGCATGTGTAAGGCGGCAAGGGCCATGAAAAATGACGCCTACTCTGATTCTCAATTGGTTGTTAGCCAGTATGAGGGAAGCTACGAGGCTACTCATCCGGCTATGATAAAATATCTTCAGGCAGTCAAAGAAGAGACCAAGGCACTTGAGGAATTCTGGCTGAATCAGGTGCCTAGGTCGGAAAACAACCAGGCGGATGCATTGTCAAAGCTGGCATCTTTCGCCTGCCATGATACGCCTCGGTCAGTCTTCTGGGAAGTTCTTGAAAAGAGAAGCATCTATGAGGATCCCGTTGGAATTCTGGACAAAAGCTCTACCTGGATGGATGGCATCCGGGCCTATCTCTCAGACGGCACACTTCCTGATTCGCCACAGGAAGCAGCCGTCCAGAAAAAGCGAGCTGCAAGATTCGAGTTGAAAAATGGAGAATTCTTCAAGGCGGGGTTTCTAAAGCCTTCGTTGAAGTGTGTCACCCCAGAAAAGGGGAAAGAAATTCTCGAAGACTTGCACTCAGGATTCTGCGCCTCTCACATAGGCGGCAGGTCCCTAGCCGTCAGAGCCAGACGACATTACTTTTGGCCCACTCTTGAGACGGACGCCAAGGAGTTGGTGAAGAAATGTGACAAGTGCCAAAAATTTGGCAAACTCATTCACCGTCCGGCTACTGACCTGACGGCCATCCACAGCCCTATCCCGTTTGCAAAATGGGGCATGGACATTCTAGGTCCTTACACGCCTGCTCCAGGCGGAAAGCGCTATATCTTAGTGGCTGTGGATTACTTCACCAAGTGGGTTGAGGCTGAGGCGGTTAAAAACATCAAGACCTTAGACGTAATTTCCTTCATCTGGAAGAACATTATCACCCGGTACGGGGTACCCATGTCTATGGTTTTTGATAATGGTCATCAGTTTGAGACGCCTCAGCTAAAAACTTGGTTGGGAGATCAGGGGATCTCAAGCTATTTCGCATCTGTTGGCCGGCCCCAAGCAAACGGCCAAGTTGAAGCTTTCAACAAACTCATCTTAGACGACATTAAAAAGAAAACAGAAAGAGCTTGTGGCTTATGGGCAGAAGAATTAATCCATGTCCTGTAGGCCATCCGGACAACAGCGAAAGGGGCAACCGGTGAAACCCCATTTCTCATGGTTTACGGTGCTGAAGCCGTCTTGCCCATCGAACATTACGAGCCGACTCTCAGAGTCATGCTGTATGATGAAGAGGCAAACTAGGAAGCAATGCGCCTGACATTGAATTCACTCCCAGAACGCAGGGGCAATGCCGCCTTGCGTCATGAGATTTACCGTCTGAGAATGACGAGAGCCTACAACAAAAAGTACACAAGCGTCTCTTGAAAGTTGAAGACCTAGTGTTACGAAAAATGGAGGCAACCGGTAGGGCCAATGAGTTGGGAAAGCTAACCCTACATTGGGAAGGCCCCTACCGGATCTATGAAGAAGTAAGGGACGGCACCTACCGCCTGGAAACTCCAGACGGAAGGCGCCTGCCTAGAACTTGGAATGTAGACAATCTAAAAAAGTACTACTTCTGAGAATGTAAACTTTTTGTAAACAGTGTCAGTTAATGAAGATTCAGACTTTGTTTGCAAAATTATCGTTTGATTATCCATCCGGGTAATATCCAGGCGGATTCCTCGTTTACCTAACTAAGTTCGATACTTAGTGAAGGTTTCATTTATTAGTCCGCCTGGGTAATACTCGGATATCTTGTTTATTTAAGTTTGATTTTGTTTATTCAACTGCTTGACTATCCGCCTGGGTACTCGGACGGATTCTCCATTTATCTAACTAAGTTTGATACTTAGTATGATACTATCCGCCTGGGTAATACCCAGACGGATTCTCCATTTATCTAACTAAGTTTGATACTTAGTATGATCAAATATTTGTCTGTCCGTCTGGATATTACCCAAACAGACTCGTATGCTTAAAAAACTAAGTTCGATACTTAGTGTAAATTCAACACTGATTAAGAAACTAAGCACAAAAACGTTTAGTGGCTACACAACCGGTCTAAAAAAGGACCAGAGGCTAAAATGGCCGGATGGTTGCTATTTTTATAAAATCGCCTGTCCCAACATGGACAAAGGCGTCCGACGACACCCCTCCGGGTGCAATCGTCGCAGAGAACAAATTGTCGGTTCTACGTATCCATGCAAACGGCAAAAATTGAACGACCAAATTGGTCAACTCATAGCCGTCTGACTAAAATAACCTACGAAGAACGAATAAGTTCCTAAATACCGGATGCCCACAGGTATCAGTCGGTAACCGGCTGAAGTTCTCACAGGTTATTTATTTTAAAATTGCACCTCACCCCAATTGGGGCAAGAGTTCAATGGCTATGAAATCTCTACCAAGACGGGCATAAGCCGTGTGTGTAGTGACTGAAACGCTTGTTGGTGTACGGCTGTGCACTTGGTTTGGGGTAATCACTACTGTGATTGATTGACTTGCAAACATATCATGCTCTTTGCAGCATCAGACGTTTTCAAGTCAATCAACCAGCTCCAATTGAAACCAATCACACAGCCGTCCAGGGGCAAGGACAGCCGGACTACTGATTAGTTAGGCAAGAAATCACCGCATGCTTTTGATAAGTTAGGCAAGAAATCGCCGCATGCTTTCGATAAGTTAGGGAAAAATTAAAATTTGCAAAAAACAAAAATTCAAATGCTAAATGATCAAAACTGACCTAGTCGGTGCAATTCATAAAAGTCCATCCAACCAAATAGTTGTAATGGATCTAATGTTAACCGGACCCCGTCCGGGAGAAAGAAATTGTTAATTAACCCGGCTCCATAGCCGGTAAAAACACAAATACTCGGCGCGCAGGCCGGAAAAAGCAAGTTTTGGCATACAGCCGCTGAATAAAAAGGAATTGAAAAAGCAAAGACTGGCATACTACCGATGAGGGGTCACTTCTGGCGTGTAGACGGAGCCTCCTGGTTCTCCCCCTTCTCCTCATCATCTGAGGGAATTTGGTGTGCTTCGTCGGGACCAGGAAGCTCAGGCGCGGTTGGCTCACTATTGCTGAGCCAGGCTTCAAAGGAGGCAGGCTCTGGCTCACCTTGCTCTATCAAGTACACCACGTAATCGGCTTAGCTGTGTGCCATTGCCCAGATGCTATAATCAGCTTCTGGGTACAAGGAAGCCCAAGCAATCTTCATACGGGCGTTGTTGTCAACATCACTCTCAGCAACAAGGCGGTTTTGCTCCGCCTCCAGGGTTGTTACAAAGTTTTTATGAGCTTGAGCAGCATCCTTCTCCAGCCTCTCAACCTTGGCTTTAAGTTTGCCAAGGTTCGCCTGGGCCTTCTTGAGCGCCTCATCAGCCTGCTTGGCGCTCTCGTCTGCCTTCTTCTGGGCCTCCTCCGCCCCCTTCTTGGCCGTCTCAGCATCCGTTGCCCGCTGGTCGGCTGCCTTCAGATCTAGCTCCAGCTCCTGGATTTTAGATGCCTGTGTCATAATTATTGCTTTAGTTTCAAGTTCATTTACGATAGTCGAGTGTAAAGCAATATTATCAGCGTCTATGGCGGACTTCTTGGCCTTTTTTACCTCTTCCCGTTTGCGGGAATAAGGACGTTTGAGCCCGTCCACTCGCAGCATGGCCTGCAAAAGCAGGCGGGATAATTACTTGGAAAAAATAACATTGAATTGACAAGTTTCTTACCTCAGCCAGAAGGGATAGAATGCGTTCAAGATTGAACGTCTCTATCCTAGGGATATTATCCTTATCCCTCTTCCGGACGGCATCCAACATGGCCTTGGCATGCTTTTGGACGTCTGGCCAGCGGGGAGATTGATCTGCACCACAATCAACACGTGATGAGTGCGAAACTAAGGCAGCACCTATCTGTTGCCGACCGTCTAAGGATGACGTCTGTTGGGAGTGGGATTTCACCCGTAAAGGCCACCCCAGCTCAAGCGGGGATTCAAAAGGGTTCTTACCTTCAGAGCCGGCCAAGCGGGAAACGCTTGCAGGCGTGGTGAACCCCGCGGCTGCTGATAAGGGGTTGACAAGATCAAGGCCCACGCTGCCGCCTACCTTCTCGAGTCGCCCCGCAACCCACATCGTCTTAGCCCCGGCTGAGGCGCCAGGAGTTGATGCAGAGGCGGACTTTTTTATTTTATTGAGAACGGCTGGGGCCTCCTCTCTAGCCCGTTTGAGATTCTTCTCAAACGATTTCCCAACTTCTCCCTCCTGTGAAAATACACAAGTAAAGGTTAGTATCTGGGCAAGACAGTTTATAAAATAAACTTAAGAAAGAGTTAGGCGCTCAATACCTTGGCCCTCGGAGGAGACGTAGATGCTGAAGGGATCGTCCTTCTCATTCCACTTTTCCTTTCTTCCTCCTCGCTATACGGAAGAGGGGGCAAGTCATCGCTGCTCTCGGAGGTAGAGGTGGAGCTGTCGCTCTCTGTCTCCCCCTCGCTTTGGTCCATGGGGGCAGAGGCGGCCTCGTCGCCGCCTTGGTCACACTCTTCCAAGAAAGACAGCAGGGGTTGAAGGGGCGCGCGGAGGGGATCTCTCCAGAGATGTCTGGTCTCCCTGACCAGACGATTCTCCCTCAGGCGTTTGGCCGCCTGAGCCTTCGCTTCTGTAATTTGGATCAGTGGTCGTCTGCATTGTCCGAGCCATGGTGTCCTGCACAGACACATAACTGGTCGGAATCCATGGCAAAGGGTGGTCCCAACACCCCGAGCCGGCACTCCCAGTCCTAGACTCAGCCGTCCCTGGTGACCGGCTGGACTCTAACCTAGGCTGTGCCGTGTGTGTTGGTGATGCATCCATTTATTGCAAGAAATATGTACAAACGGTGAAAAAATAAAAGAGCAAAGAGAGATAGAGACGGTACCTTTGGATTTGATATCTGAAGGAAGGCGGGTCCGGCTGGGTTGCGGAAGAACAAAGTTTCTTGCTCGCGCCTGACTAAAACGGATGTCTTCTGCTCCCTCGAAGTTTCTCTCTAGAAAATTTTTGTAAACGTACAAAATTATGAGGGTAAAACGGCTATATATAGAGGGTAAATTTGGGGGCATTTCCGTAATTTACCCGGAAGATGAACGGTTACTCTGTAACGGTAAAATTACCGCCAGCCAGAGCGTGACATGTGTCACAGATGCCACGTGGCGTGCCACGTCACATCTGTGAGGGGCAAATGTTTAGGGTAATTTTACCCTGCCACGTGGCCCAATCAGAAGGTGACACGTGTCAGCCCCAGATTGGTCTAAAATGGACCAATCCCTGCTCGACACGTGTCATTCCCAAAATCAAGGGAAGAGGCGGCCTTCAGGCCCAAATTCCGAGAATGCCGCCAAACGGCGCAGCCCACCAATGATTAGGGTTCAGTAACCTAATCAGGGGCACAATTCCCAAAGACTCTATAAATAGGGAGATGTCCCTCATTTTGAGGACACGTTTTACCATTTATTACACATTTCACTCTTTGATAGAGACATCCCGAGCTTGGAATCCGAGCGGATCCCCACTTAAATTTCCGCACCTTTTTTCTCCCTTCAAATTTCTAACTTGTGCGTCGGAGGCGGAGCACCACCCAACTGGTGTCTCCGTTTGTTTTGCAGGTAAAGCTCACCCCGGATCAGTCTTTGTGTTGTAACTCTCCCGAGGGACAAAAACACCCAAAACAGGTCTCCCTAAAGTTTGTGGAGGTTGGAATATCAGTTTACTCAGTGATTAGAATAAGGCTGCTATTTGAAAGATTCTTTGGGATTTAGCTCATAAAACTGATAATTTATGGGTTAAATGGGTTCATATTTACTGTTTTCATAACAAAGATTTGTGGTCTACTCCTATTCCTAGCAAATGTACATGGGTCTTAAAGAAAATTTTGGGTTGCAGGGACATTATTGATAAAATTGGTGGTTGGTCTTCTGTTATGCATGTTGGTAAGGTGTGTATTTCTAAGATCTATGCTCAGATTAGACCTCAGGCTGCAAAGGTAAGTTGGAAAAGGGTCATCTGTAATAATTTTGCTTCCCCTAAGAGCATTTTTATTACTTAGATAACTTTGATGAACAAGCTGATTATTACTAAAGATAGAATAATGAAATGGAATGTTAATTGTGATCCTGTTTGCCTTTTCTGTCAGAGCAGTAGTGAGTGTGTGTCTCACTCTTTCTTTGCTTGCCCTTACTGTAGAGATATTTGGGAGCACATCCTTGCTTTATTGAAGATTTAGAGATCAGCTCAAGATTTCTAGGCTGAACAACAATGGCGTCTCAAGAACTCCAGAAGATCAAGCAGTAAAGGCAGAATTTATATGATGTGTTTTGCTGAAGCTATTCATAGTATTTGGCTTCAAAGGAACAATATGATGTTTACTGGTACCTGTCAGCTTGTAGAGTTGGTGTTTAGGGATATTGTGTATAAAGTAGCTGTTAGATGCAATGATGTTGATAGAAAACTGCTTCTTTTGTTATGTTCTGGTCTTTAGCCTATTCTGCCAGATTTGAGTCCAATTTGTGTTTACAGTTCAAGTTTGTAATCTGTTTGTGTTGGTTGTTCTGGCTTCGTTGTCTAGTCCTGCAGTTTTTGCAGTAAAGTCTAGGTGGAGGCTTGTGTTTGTTTCCGTAGTTTGCAGATTGCCTGTTGTTGGTCTGCAGGTTGCAGGTTGCTTGTCTTGCTTCTCTGCCTAGCTCTGGTTTTGTCTGGTCCTGGTTTCCAGAACCCTTCCTAGAAGGTGGCTGGGAGCCTGAGTCTAGTTTGTTCTAGTCTCTCTCTAGAACCCTCCCTCGAAAGTGGCTAGGGTGGTTTCTGGAACTGTTTTTGGTGGGTGTTTGGCCTGTTGTTTTCAGGTCTTGTGTGTTTGTTATTAGTTATAAATTATTTTTTGTAAGTTGTAACTTCTCTCTTTGGTAATAAAATCTTTATTTATAAAAATAAAATAAATATTCCAACACATTCAAATAAAGCTTTTTAAATCAAATGAAAGTAAACACATTTAAACAAAGCTTTTTGAATCAAATGAAAGTCAAATGCATTCAACAAAGCTAATTAAATCATATCAAGGTCAAACATAGTCAAATAAATCTTTTTGAATCAAATGAAAGTCAAACAAATTCAAACAATGCTTTTTGAATCGAATGAAAGTCAAATGCAATCAACGAAGCTAATTGTAGACACCCATTTGTGTCTCCCCAAAACCAAACCCAGTGATGAGTACCTTTCACCTCGAATCATAATCGAATGAAGCGAAAGTGTAGAAAGTCTAGTGTTGCGGATAATTTTAATTTCGTTTTCCTTCTCTCTGTTTTTGAAAACTTATTTTAAGAAAACAGTCAATCCAGTTTGGTTGGTCCATGATATGGGTCCAATAGTAGTGTAGTTGGATGGGGCTTGACAAGATCTTTCCAATGATATATTATAAGCCTAATTTCGATGAATATTGAGGAAGTTATGGCCAATTAACTAAATTGGGCCCGGTTTGAACCTTATATGCGGCCTAATGATCTAGGAGAAGGCCTAATATGATTTATCATTCCTAATGCAATTAGGAATGGTTTTAGTCTTCTAGATTCTTCTAGAAGGTTCTTTTCATTCCTAATTCAATTAGCATTGATAAATTTACTTTTGTTGACTTTTCAGAGTTTTAATTAAAATCAAAGAGCATTTTTGAGGAAAAGATACGATTTTATCCTCCTGTACGGCAAAATTTATCTGATTTTAGAAAACGCGTCAAAAACATGATTAGCGCCTGGCGCCAATAGCTGGCGTTGGCGCCAGCTCTGTTTTAGGTGCGCCAATGCTCTGTTTTGTTAATTTTATCTTTTTTGGCTGATTTTCTCTATAAATAACGTCGTAAAAACTCCGTTTTCATTCACCTACAACCAATTTTCATTCGGAATCATCAATTCTTTCATTCTCTTTAATCATTCACCATCTCTCTCTCTTTTTCTAAACTAACTTTTTACATACGAAATTCCGCATTCGCAAGATCTAGATACACCTAGCCATATTCGAAGTTGCCTTCGCCCTAGACGTGAAAGGTTTAATTTATGAGGGTTTGGTCCCAAATCTCTCTTTCAATTATTTAATTTAATTGTTTTATTATTTTTCTTGAAGTTATTAACGTGTGTATTTTGTTATTAGAAAGAGGTACGAGACATCAAAGTAAGTGCTTTAATGGTTTTAATTGATGTTATGATGTAGAATCATGTTTAGATTGTTATTATGATTCATAGTATCATGTCTAGGGTAACTTTAATATCAATTATGATTTCTATGATCCTTTTATGTTCTTCCTAATATTTGTGATTGTTAGTATCATGTTAGGGTTAAAGATTTGATTTTTATTGTTTAGTAATATGCTAGGGGTTGTTATTAATCTTGTTAGTATCATGTCTAGGATCTTGCTATTATTATTATGCTTTAACATGATTATTATTATGATTATGATTATTATTATTATTGTTATTGTGATGATTATTGTTTTGATGATTATAATTTATTTTTATGATCATGGTTATTTTTTATCATTATTATATTATTGATTATTATCATGTTAGTTGCTTGATATTTATTGTTATTGCTTGATCACGCTTTTTATGCATGTTTAAAGGGAATTTGTACTTGTAATCACGCTTAATAAGATAATTAATAATCTTGTTAGGGTTAATTATTATTATAATTCAAGTGATCGCTAATAATAGATTTATTTGTGCATTAATAATCAACCAACATAGATAAACAGGTTTAGGGTTAATCATATTGATTGCATGTTAGTCAGAAAGCGCACATGAATACGATCAGAATAAAGTAGAGGCCTATTAGTAGGGCAGGTTCAATTTCTTTTAGGTTGGATTTGTACCTTCATCCCCAAACCCTTATTTGGTTCTAGACCTTATGGAGTTGACGATCTCTTGGATCGTTAAGGGGTGTAACCTTCACCATGTGAACGGTTTACAAGTTCCTAAAACTTGTTGGCGACTCTTTTGCTCTATCTTCTTCCCTTTTGGACGCCACCGTACTTAAGTGTATGATCACAGTGGAGTTCAAGCAAAGGGGTTTAACGCTTGAACAATATTCCCCACACTAATTAAATAAAATGAAAGTCAAATACATTCAAACAAAGATTTTTGTATTGAATGAAAGTCAAAATCATTCAACGAAGCTGATTGAGCCATATGATAGTCAAACACACTCAAACAATTTTTTTTTTTATTTAACGTAAGTTAAACACATTGAAACAAAGCTATTTGAATCAAATGAAAGACCAAAACATTCAAACAAAGTTTTTTAAATCAAATGAGAGTAAACACATTCAAACAAGGTTTTTAAATAGAATGAAATTCAAAAGCATTCAACGAAGCTAATTGAATCTTATCAAGGTCAAACACATTGTAACAAATCTTTTTGAATCAAATGAAAGTCAAACACATTCAAACAAAGCTATTTGATTCGAATGAAAGTCAAATGCATTTAA